CTATGATGATGTTTAAGTTTCTTTTTTTCTATTACAATGGTATCAGTGAAAAAAACTGAAAATTAGTGTTATATTTAATTTGATTTACAGGAAAAAAGTACTGAGGAACATTTCGTACCACAGCATTTTGAACATACACACCTGGAAACTAAAACAGAAACGACAATTGGTGGAAACGAGCAGAAAGAGGTAAATTTTTTTCTTAGACAGTTTTTTTGTCGATCTATTTCGTTATACTTCTTAAATTGTGCTTCCATTTTTTTGAAGCACAATTTTAGATTTTAATGACAGTTTTGTAAGAAGTTGCTTGTGAAAATAAGACATTTATTTGATAAGGTGTATCACTCGTCGCAGGTTCTTTGTCCAAGATGACCATTTTCTGCGGTCGCTACGTAGACTGTTATCTTAAGCGATATGCAGAAGTGAGTAATTGATTTTGGATGAGCAATTAATGCAATAAATTCTGGAAAATAGATGATCTCGATAACTTTAGTTCAATATAACATTATGCTATTTAAAGTAATAGAGGAAGTGTAAACTCTCCAGTCTGCATGAAAGTTCGTTTCAATGTTTTGGCCTCGTAAGAATTGCTTAAACAGCAGATGAAATGAGAGCCGTTAAAATTTTATCTTTTTCGTCGGTGATAAATCAACAAGTTCAAAGCTTTTATAATCGCAAAACTGTCAATGGTTATTCTGAATTTATATAAAGTTGTTAAAAATGTTGTAATTTAGGTTAGAGAGTGTGACAGTGGTTAAGTTCTCAGCTGGTTCTTGATAATTACTAACTTTGTAACTATTTTTCTTTCATTTAATCAGCATTACCTTAGCCAAGGAAATTTGGAAAGAATGTATTGTTATTTAGGTTCACTAATTTTTGACCTGGTATACGCTTTAGCAACGGTTCAACACCTAATTCTCTCTTATAAGTTTGTTTAATTAGAGATTTTTTACCTTTTACCAAGTTGTCCAGTGCTTTTAGCACTGCAGTACTCTTGCAGCTTTCTTCCAATCATTCATTTCCAGTGTGGATTAGTTGTATGTAATAGAAATAAGAATTGATGACGTCATGGACAGTAGTAATCAAGTTTTGAGTAGGCTATCAGTTTCTTAATCTCCTCTTATTCAAATTCGGAATCCTCCTCGCACAGAGGTCACCCTCGGTGTTTTTTCAAGGTGATCAAGAAATAAATTTTTTTGCGCATTTTTGAGCAAAACAGAAATAATCAAAAGCAGTCGTTTCAGATGAGGCTTACCCCTTTCGACTTTCCCTTTTAGAAGGATATCTAATACCCTTTAGCCGTAATTTGGCTTACCTCAGCAGCTCTTCTAGTAATCTTACTTTCCAATGTGGCTAGGCTTTCCATAGTTTAATATAGCCACCTGCAAAAGAATGGCTTTTTAAAATCAAATGCAGATTTTCCATTTTGAACTGAAGCTAGGTTTCAAAACCTTAGTAGAGCCACAGACTACTTTTGTTGTAGTACTCTTGAATTTGTGATAGTGGAATCACTTTATTCTATCCTCATCTTATCGACTTTTTCACGGCCAAATTCCTACATGTTTTTTAAAAACTGTAGTCTTCTAGTAATTTTACTTTCCAACTTGTTTAGTTTAATATGCAGATAAGCAATTTGTTTTGTCTTTTCCACACTAAATTTAAATAAATGATAATGGAAAACCCAATGGTCGTAATTATGTCCAAAAGTGGCAGTAACTCAGTGACAGCTGAATTACATTTTAACCATTGCTTTTTCTTTTGTGTTAATATAACAATTGTTTTATG